CATCAATGGGACCATCTATTGCGTCCCATGTTGGTGCATCACCATCCACATCAACTGCTTCATCTTAATAACTGATTTGTTGTGTTCTGTTATTTTTTTGATTGATTTAAATGGTGTCACATGTGTAGATGATAAACAAGTATGTTGTCTTGCTGTTCTAAATTTAATATATTATAATCAATTAAAAAACTATACATAATAATAATTCAACTCATTGCAAATTTAATAACATTTATACAACATTTCAAACAAAACAAATCACATCGTATTTATATCGTAACTATTTTAAGAGTTAATTACACTGGAACTAGCACTTCGACACTTGTTAAAAACAACTATACATAACCATATTAATTTATAGAATAAAACAAAACTATTAAAAAACTATTTCATAATGATGGTTATATACTAGTTATATTAATTAATCTCCATTGTACTTCTGTTATGAAAAATGTAGTATATAAACTAATAAGAACTAGTATGATCTCCACAAAACCAACAAATGGAAATGAATTACTTTCATTCACATTTGCTATTTCACAGTTTTTGTGATCTTTTGAGTTACAAGTTCAATTCTTTTCACGTTTTTTGTTCCAGAAAACAGAATTAAAAATTGATACGACCAATCAAAACACACAAAAACGTCCACATACCAATACGACTATAAATATATAGATATTTAGATATATAAACATTACAACGAACTCAGTCACCAAATGAAACAAATCACTTCACTTGCTGAATTCAACGCCGTTCTCAAAGAACACAAACAAGTTGCTGTCAAATTCTATGCGACGTGGTGCGGTGCGTGCAATGCGACTACTCAATACTACAACGACCTCGAGAAGGAGCTCCCCAATCTCTTCTTTGTTGCTGTTGATGTCGACAAAGCACGAGATGTCTGCCAACACTATGACATAGAAAAGATGCCAACTTTCATTTCTTTTGTCGATGGGCTGAAAAAGGGAGAGTACACCGGCACTGTCAAAGATAACATCAAGAATCTCTTCTTGTAATTCACTGGTCACTTCATTGTTTTTTTACTATAATATACTATTACATACTATAATATAATTAATACATATATTTTAATACAATATACTATATTTTACTATATTATGTATAATATACTATACTATAATATAATATATTATAATATACTATAATATACTATATTGTAATTAAAAATTATAATTTCATACAATTTACTATATTTTACTATACTATTATAACAAACATGATAAGACACAGTTAACAGTCTCACCAAAGAAGTTGACTGGATGCCCATTACCGAAAGTGATGGCGAGGATTGGAAGGCAGTACGAGTACTCCCCATTGAGTGGATTATTTACAACATAACACATGCTTTGTTCGATGAACAGACTTTTATCGGATGGTCTGAGGACATAAGCCAATATGAGGTGTGAGTCCCCTTGGAAGTAACTGATAGAGATGGATGGGTCAGCAACAAAGTACTCGCCAACACCCAGAGCCTGCTCACATCGCCATTTTGTGTCGAACCCCTCCATACAGATCCCATTGATGGCAACATCAGTGCTGCCAGTTATCTAAATAGCTGTTGAATTGAGTTTTGGTGAGACAAAATTTTACTTTGGTGTGATGACTGGAAACATAGTAGACGAACACTGAAGATCCAACTTCACAGAGTCTAACAGGGATAACTCCATCAAGTGTTCCAACACATATTCTACCCAATGTGTGTTGTTGTGTTAAAGTTATTGAAATCGATCAGCCAGTGATATGAATTGTCATCCACAGCGGTAATAACAAAACCAAGTTCTTTGCTGTGGAAAAACGACAAAGAAGTTGTTGTAAGCAACTTCCATGTTAAACAAAAAGACGTTTTGTGAAGTTCTTCTGATCTCCACTCGCTTCTTGTCAAGGCGGTCTGAGAGTTGCTTCTTCTGATAGGAGATGTCCTTTGAGAGTGTCTGCAGCAGTGTCTACTCATCATGCAAATATGTTGCAAGTTGGTTTAAAGCGTCAGTCAGCAAATATTACGGAGTGAGTTGCAACGTCGTCACATAATGAGTAACAACACTGTCGTATTTCTTACCAGTGAGTGTCAGATTGTATTGTGATTGTGGTGTGGTGTTTGAATTTATATACAGAAGATCAAATTTATAGTCATCAGGAACATAGGTCATGTGCAATGTGTATATTGTGCTGTTATAACCCAAAAGACAGAAATCTGAGTTGGTCCTATAAAATGCAGTCCATTCGTCTTTTATTGAATTCATTCAATTTTTGCTCACCAAGTTATTAGTTGAATTAATAAGTCTAAATTCATTTAATTTATCTTGAGTTGTTATATTGATTGTTGTGTTTAGATGCCAAATTATAATTATCAGTGTGCTATTTCTAGTATATGACAAATCTTATAATTAATTATTATTATCTAATTATATTTACAATGAAAAATAATTACTAAAGTCAATTGTATTTATATTATTGGTTTGTTATATAATAAAAAAATCGAAAAAGTTTGCAATGAAAGTTTTATATATTTGAATAATAATAAAGAAAATATAAAATTCTTGAATATCACCTTTATCTTTTTAATTGTTTAAAATTTACAACAAAAATGAATTAAACAACAATATTTGGTATTAGAATGAAAACGTATTATTGACTGTGTTTCTTTTTGATAATATGTCAGTATTTGATTATTAATAACTGAATATATTGTTTAACAATATAATATTTCGATGATTTTAATAAATAATTATAACTAACTTCTATTTGATATTTATAATGATCAAATAATATTAAAAAATGAAATATAATCTTTCAGTTATACGACAATAAAAAACAATTGTATAACAAGTCTATTTAATGTTAATTCAATTTCAAATAACTTATTATTTAATTAAATATCAAATTCTATATTAAGTTAGTGTATTATATCACCATCAATTTAAAAGAGTGACATAGATATTATTATAAAACAACACAAAATCAACAACTCTACTTTTTTAAATAAATGATTTATAAAGTCACGAACACGGGGATCAATGTGAGTAATATAAAGCACGTTGCGAACAGTCCGAATGAAATCCACCCAACGACATTGACTGCTTTGTTTTTAGTTTTTCTTGAGATGATGAAAGCAACGAGCCATGGGAAGAGTAATAAGAAACCAAGTCCAAACATGAGGAAGACCAGATTGGTTGCCCTCTTCTCATCAACACCACTTGGTGTTTGGCAGTACGTAGGTTGTGCCATCATCAGGGGTTGGTTTACCGTTGGTTGCACGTATTGTGGTGTTTGTTGGTAATAACTTGGTTGTGGGGGATACTGTTGTTGTGTGTTATTTTGTTGTTGTATATATGGCTGTTGTGAATATCCATTATATTGTGGTTGTTGTGGATATGTTGCTGGTGGTGTTTGATTTGAGTAAACTTGTTGTTGGTATTCAGGTGGCGGGAGAACACTATAATTTTGGTCAGCCATCATTTCAAGTTTGACTTCATTATCAGTTTTCCATTCAAAAAGTTTTTTTATTATAAAACTAAAATTACAAAACATTTTATAAGACTTTGGTTTTGTTTTTAATTTTAATTCTGTTTTGTGTTAATTAATTTATTCTTATGAACATTTTTGTAATTCTGGTTTGATTTTATCGGAACTTAAAAAAAAGTTTCTGATATAAAATTGAGTTCTATGTTTTTTGTTGTTCCGTTAAAATTAAATAACATTATCAAAACAACCAGTTTTATCGGCAATAACATTACCAATACCATTCATTTTACATTTAAATTATGCACTTTATCAACCGATAAAACATGAGTTTACTTAATTCTACCACACCAAGAAAACACAACAAAATTTGAATTTATTCGACAGACCCACTTGGGCTCTGACTTCTGCTTTTACTTCCCGCCTTACTTCCACTTCCACTTCTGCTATCGACTGAGTCATTTTTCTCGACAGCAGTAACAACTTCGGGTGGTCTGTCTTCACTCTTCTGTCCTTTAAATCCAGTCCAGTCGAATTTGCCATCAAACACGATTATCTCTCTCTTCGCTATTTTCCAGAACAACATGCGGAGTTGTAAGTAGTCCGGCGTTTGGTCAAAGCTCAGTTTTTTGCACGTGTCCAAATAAGTTGCAAACTCCTCGGGCAATCCTTCACACAACTCACTCAATAGCGTGTTTTTCTATACTACATAAACAACATTTTATATTGTTATTTAACCCGATTTTTTGTTTGGAAATTACAATTTAAAACATAATTAAACATAAGAATTATATATTAGAAAATATTTTGAAATTAAACAAATTTTTTAATTTTTTAATTGTTATAATTGTTATTTATTTATCAATAAAAAGGTAAAAAACAATATAATATATTGTTTAAAAAACTCATTCAAATCAATACTGGCATTTGGTTCTTGTTGTACTCTCAATGTTTTTAAAAGCCTCTGGAAATGGTTTGAAAAATATTTCAGTGGGGCAGTTTTTCTGTTCATCTTCGTACATTTCTTTTGGGCAATCAATTGGTTTTGGGTTGTGTTTGTTTTCTTCGTTTAAATCAAAGCAAATTACTACTTCTGCTATCGAACCAAAGTTGGTGCTCTTAAACACTGGTTCGACTCCAATTTGTTGTTTTAATACACTTTTTATATCAACCAATTTATACCTATTCATTGGTTCTACTTTTAATTTACTTTCCTTCAACATTGTCCAAATATCCATATTCTTTCTCAAGTTAATGACCATCCAAAAATAATCCAATGGACCAGTTTCTCCTTTGAATACGTCCAAAGTGCATGAACCATGTTTGTCAAATTCGTATAATGCAAATCTGCATTTATGTTTTGAAAACCAATACTTTCCTATTTCTTCTTTCAACTCTTTATTTGTCAATATCACACTTTCAATATTTTCAATTGAATTTTTACAAGAACAACAGTTAATAGAACCCTCGTTTGATTGAGGCCAAAATCCATGTATTAAAAAACCTTCTGGAATATAATTGGTGTTTTTTGGTATATGACAGTACATTCTGTCACACAATTCCCCAGGCCAGGACTGTACAAATTGAGAGTAATCAATTGGTTCTGTTTTTTTCTCGTATTTGTCGCACATTTGAAAAACAGAAGGATAGTGTTTTGCTTCTTTTTGAATAAATATTTCTTTTGGTTTTTGGGATGCTTTTTCTTTGTTGAGCCTCTTCTCTTCACGGCGTTGTTTTCTTAAATCATAAACTTTTGATTTTTTATCACTTTGTTGAGGAGTTGTAGTGGGTATTTGGATGTTGTTATTTGAAGTTGATGGTAACTGAATTGATTCTTCAGTTTTCAACACTTTATTTGTTGAACCAGCAATTAAAGCAGCATTCTGGGAAGTTTTATATTGATATGTCGATTCAACAGCCGAACCAGTTTTGTGAGGTTGTGATAAGGTTAGTGCAATAAGATATAGAATCAACATAATTTTTACAGATATAAAAAATAATATAAGCGAGCGCAACAACAAACTTTTGTTTTGTAAATACTTGTTTTCAAAAATAGACAACAAGAAAATGTTTTATTTTTAGATAAAAAATCCGAGTTTGTCCGAAATAGGTGGCTCTGTTGAAAACTATATATTTCAGAATATAAATCCAAAAACCAATTATAACAATAAGAATTTAAATAATTAAAAATATCATAATTAACTGATTTTGTTGAGTTTTATTTATATTATAATATTAATGTATTTTTGGATTTAAATAATAACAAACCGCATCTTCTCGGTCATTATTACTTTTTAGTTTTTGAAAACAACAATATAATAGAAAGAGATAGTTGTTAATTAAAAATATGAACGACATTTAAAAATAATATGTAAAATTGTCATATCAACACTCTGAAACCCCCCAAAAACATACCAAATAATATATTAAAACACATATCACTTGGAAATAATAATATAATTATTTTATTATCAAATTAACTATCGACAAATTGTTTTATTATTATTAGTAATTATTTTTCTAAAAATATTTGAAAGTTAATAACCAAAATTTTATTTGTTTTCACTTTTAGTTGGTTTACACTTTTAATAAAAAATAACCTTTTTAAAATAATTAATAATTGCATTTATTTCTAAGGGCTCTTTGAGGATCGATTAAGTTATTGGGAATCTTTTTAAACACTACTCTTGTCCCACAATTTTCACTTCTTTTAATGTAATTTGGACACTCAATTGGTGTTGGATTAAATCGATCATTTTTGGTATCATAACATATTTTTACCTGATAAATACTGGATTCTTTATTACATTTGAAAACAGGATTGACTCCATAAGCTCTTCTAACAACCTTTCTAATATTTTCCAGTTTGTAGAATTTTTCCATTTCAACGTGAAGTTCACTTGTTCTAAGAATGCCCCAAAGATCAATTTTCTCTCTTAAAGAAATTGCCGTTTCCATATAATCTAAAGGTCCATTTGGTCCAGTGTATGTTTTTAATGCGCAGGTGCCATGTTTTTCGTATTGAGCCATGGCAAATCTACAATTTAAAAGTGACATCCAAAATTTGTGTATTCCCGACATCAAGTTTGGGTTTTTAAGCATTTGGTTTTCAACTTGAAGTTCTGTGAAAGACGTCTTGCAACACTTCAATCTTTCATTTTTAAAATATCTTGGCCACATTCCATGTATTAAAAATCCTTCTTGAAGCGACAACGTCGATTCTGGGAGTTTGCATACATTGTCAAAACATAATTGACCCGGCCAAGTTTGCACGAACATAACTAAGTCGAATTGCCTTTTTGTGTAATACTTTTGGCACGTTTTTGTAAATATTTGAACATATTGTGGTTTGGGAAGCTGAGTGCTCCAAACTGGCTTATTCAATTTCAAACTATCAACGCCAATTGTATATTGAGTTGGTCGCATTAGAGTGTGAACTTGTTTTCTTGGAAGTCTTGTACTGGTTACCGGCTGTGATGGGGTTATTTTTGTTCGGACTTCTTTAGCTTTAATATTTTCTGGTTGATCAAACGAAAGAACCGATGTTCCAAGTATGAGTATAACAAATAAATGTGTCATTAACTGAACAATTGTTTTAAGTTTTTAATAAAATACCACGATTGTTGATGTTAAAATATATTTGATTCCACAGATTTGTTTTCATCATTATTAAAAAACGAAGCAAATTTCAACATTTTAACAAAGAATTGTTTTTTAAATGTTTTATTAAATTATTTATTAATTCTGAAATTTCGTAATTTTATCAGTTTAATGTTCAAATTTAAATTGTAAAATATATATCAGTTGAATTGAACTTCTATATTATAAAAACTTTAAATGAAATATATATGTTATTTTATTAAATGGTTATTTTTGAGTGTAATAACATTGATGACGTTTTTTATGTCAAAATATCAAAAATAAAACGAATATTATCTGTTAGTATTAAAAAATTAAACATTATAATGAACAATTCAACAGTTATAATACAAATTAATTTTTATAATTATTTAATGCTATCATTAATGATTATTTTAATTATTAACGATTTGTAGTTAAAAAATTCAAATATTATAAAATTTGGATTTTGTTCATATAACATCAATAAATTTCATATGACTGTTTTTATTATAAACTTTAAAGCTAAAGATATTTTTTCGAAGTTGATATTTTTTGATTAACTTGAATTGACATAAAACAATGTTTTTGTAAATTTTTTATATTAATTAAAAATTATAAATATATATTTTTTATATTTTTGTTTTTTTTACATTTTCTATAAATATAATAATTGTCTTATTATCATAAAATTAGAGTCGTTTTTTTCTATTGTAATTTCTACTTAACAGTTTCCGTTGTTTTTAAAGTAAAAAAGTCTATTTGTTGTATTTTTAATCGTTGAATTTGCTTTCAGATAACGCGGTTGTCATGTTCCATATAAATATTGGGTGTCAGATTTTATTTATAATAAATAAATCGAGTTTAATTATAATTATATTTATTAAGACTATTTGAGTTTGTTAAAAATTAATTAGTTTTTTACATAAACAATAAATGAAATAAATTAACACACGTTTAATAATAATACAATCATTTGTATTAATATAAAACATGTGTTATTATTGTGATTCATTTGCTAAATACTTTCTTTGTTTTAAATGATTTTGGTACAAAAAGTGCTTTTATCATTTATAATAATTAAATGCATATATATAATATTTATATGCATATTTACAATATATTGTTATTGTTATTTGTTATTTCATAATGTCAAACATTTTAAAATATTTATTTTAACTTTCAATCAATACTGACAATTATTTCTTGGAGCCTTTTCTGCATCGAGTAAATAAATTGGATAAGGTTTAAACATCACCTTAGGATCCCATTTTCTTTCTTCTTCTTTTATAACT